TTGTCTTTCTATTGCAGGTAGTATATAAGTCGGAACGAGCCGGATCGGACGACTATAGCATATAGCTCCCATAGGAACAATCGGAAAAATAATTGAAAAAAAATTATAACTTTGCTGTTTTTTAATTTTTTGTTTTGTTCTTCGACATAAAGCAATGGCTAAGTATTTCAGAATTTTGGTTAAAATTTCATCAAAAACGGACGACTATAGCATATAGCTCCCATATGAACAATCGGAAAAATAATTGAAAAAAAATTATAGCTTTGCTGTTTTTTAATTTTTTGTTTAGTTCTTCGACATATAGCAATGGTTAAATATTTCAGAATTATGATTAAAATTTCATCAAAATCGGACGACTATAGCATATAGCTCCCATAGAAACAATCGGAAAAATAATTGAAAAAAAATTATAACTTTGCTGTTTTTTAGTTTTTTTTTTTAGTTCTTCGACATATAGCAATGGTTAAATATTTCAGAATTATGGTTTAAATTTCATCAAAATCGGACGACTATATCATATAGCTCCCATACAAATAATAAAAATATATAAAATAACTATCAAATAATTAAGCTGCAAATCGTCATAGCTTCAATGTTTTTAAACATATTCGCAAGTAAATCATAATTTTAATGTTTTCAAAAATATTTAATTCTTGCGATAGCTGCAAGGGTATATGAACTTCGGCTTGCCGAAGTTTGCTTTCTTTCTTGTTTTCTGTGGTTTAACTTGTTTGAAAGCTATGAGCGTAAAAAAATGTAACTTTTCATGGCCGACAACTTTTGGGAAAGTTTCATGCAGTTAGCTTTAAAATTGAGGGACTAGTTTGCGTAGAAAAGGTCGGATGAGTCGGACATGGCTAGATCGACACTCCTAGTGATACTGATAAAATATTTTTGATATTTTATGGGATCGGAAATATCTCCTTCACTGCGATGCAAACGTATGACTGGAATTAAAATACCCTCTGCAAAAGTATAACAAGCTATTAAACTCAACAATCGACCGTATTTATACGGATTTTTTTTTTAAGAAAAACTAGTTTTTTTTCGACTATAAGACACCTGTTTTCTTCGGTAACATCTGCAAATGGCACTTAACATATAGAAAAGATTTACCAGGGGATTGTTAGGATTTTTAGGTGGTTGGATTTGCTAACGTCATATCTTCAAGATAAAGCAATTAAATTAATTTCGGTGTGAGGTTCTTAAGGTGGCATTGATGTGGTGGATCTGGGAGAAGCAGGAAAATTTTCCAAATTTTGTCGGTTTTTATCATCATTATTAGAAATCCAATTCTTTTTACATGTACAAAATCTGCATAAAAAAAGGGCCATACAACTAATTCTTAAATTTCAGTTGCTAATTCACTCAAACGAGGATTTTGTTGATTTTAATTTGTTGTTGTTATTTAATTGTTATTTAACTTACCCCATCGATCAGTTGTCTCACGATGCCATCCCATGTCTGGGTCACCTTGTTCAGAGCCCCGTACTTGCCATCGGGAGACATTCGGAATTCGTACTTAAAATTCAGCATTTTTGCTATTTCGTCGATGAGGTCAATGGAATAGCCCTCGTAGCGGGAGTTTCCACTCAGGACTTCTCCTTCCTCCGGCTCTCGCAGCGTGAGAAACGGGGCTCCCAGGCGGGATGAGACAATAAATGTCTTATTCGACAGCTTCTGGCCAACCCTCTTCTCGCTCTCTTCGTCGTCGTTAAGGACATCCAAGCCGTTCACCGGATCCCAAGTGGCTAGATCCAAGAAGCCGCCAGCATTTAGTTCCATGAAGCGTAAGGTGAAGAAGCTTCTTTGGCCATTCTCATTGAAGTCAATCCGTCCCGTGGAAGTCTCTTCAGATCGCTACAAAGCAGGGATAGTAACTATTTCAATTTATTAATAATAAGAAAGGAAGCAAACTTTGGCAAGCCGGAGTTTATAAGCCCTTGCAGCTATTGTAAAACATAAATATTCTTTAAAAAATATTCATTATGAATTATTTGCGTTTATAGCTAAAAACATTGAAGCTATGATGATTTCAACCTCAATTATTCGATCGTTTGAATGGCCCCTATATGAGATCGTTTTTTGATTAAAAAAATTTAAAGAATAACTCTGATTTATTCAACCATTACTAAGTCCTAAAGAACCGGAAATTAGAGAAGTTAAAATTATTTTTTTCATTTACAATATATTTTTAAAGATCCCATGGTATTTAGGAGTTTTTTAAAGCATTAATCTTTTGCTTATAAAAATTATTAATTGATATATTTGGTACCCAGCTAGATTCTGAATAACTTACCGCTTTCATGAACTCAATGATTCGTTTGCCAAATGGCCATGGTTTCTTCCGCCTGCATTCTAATTCGGGAGCAGAAAGCTCCTCGAAAATTCCGAGCTCAGTAAGTCCCTTGGAAAATAGCCAAACGGCATCATTGAGCAGTATCATCTGGGTTTTCACTCGCTCAGGCTCGACTTTGAAATAGCGCCCCTCACGTTTTTCGCGCTCCTCCCAGTCGTGGACTACGTTTTTGACGTGGAAATCGGTTGGATCCATTAGACGCACCGTTGTTATGTTGGCTTCGACCCCAGAAAGGTCTCCAAACTCGATGGAATGAGTATCCAGAAGAGGTATAAATACGCTCTGAAGGTATTGAAATGAATAAATTAAATTATAAGGACATCTTTTGAATATGCACCTGATATTCGCCTAACATTTTTAGCTCATTTGCTTGTTCCAATATTTTCAACAGGTTATCTGGAGCACAGTGCAGGATCAAACAGTTGTCAGTGGAGAGTTTAATCTCCTTTAGGAAAGGCCTATGGTCGTCATCCGGCCCCAGTTGTTTCACTGTAGTTGGGTTGCTGCTCGGTTCACCGATTTGCAAAATATCCTGAAGTTGCTGCAGCTCTAGAATGTCACAAGAATTAAATTCTTTCTCGCGTGGTTTTAGTAGAGATTACCTCTGTCCGTCTCATAGACTACAGTAAAGCTTCGCCAGCCAAAACTCTGCACAATCTCAGCCAGTCCCTGGGATAGCAAAAGGTTATCTGGATGAACATTCAGGGTCATTGTTGAGTGCTCTCGATCTGGTATAGATTCATTTGGGATCCAGTCGTATATTATGTGCGGTATATCTAGTGTGTCACATATTGAGGCAATTATGTCTGCGATGGAGCATGGGAATAACATTTCGTTTTATAGATTGAACAAATTTAAAAACTTGCCAGAACTGCTTCCTGTACTGGGCCCGAAGATGGCAATTACTCCTTGGGAAATCAAATTGCAAACTAAAGTAGAAATGGATTTTTAAGAAAGATTTGTAAATATTATGTCAAAGCTTAGTGTGTTATTTTACAGGCGATGGTAAGTCACAAATCTAATGTTGACGCAGGCTTATATTACTTATTTCAATTCTTGATTTTTTATTTTATTTAATTTCTGTTCAGCTTAGCTTTTTCACGTCTGCTTCCAATTGTCTCTCTAAATTCAAGTGTTACCCTATTCTAATCTTCACATAGTCCTTACTACTTATTCTACATTATTGGAATTATTATTATTAAATAGTCACATCTTATATCCACTTGATCTATACAGCTTCCAATATACTGCTAACTTTATCCAATACTTACCCATTTTTTCCATGATAAAACTATCATCCGTGTTGGCATACATCACAATTGGAACAAGTTCTATATTCCGCTCTAAAATGTTTGCTCGGTCCACAGCAGTTCGGAATGCGATTTCCGATTCATCTTTGTCCGATGTAAAGATGCTACCTAGAGAACGTGCGACAATTTTACTCGAATAGCCGCAGTTGAGACTGTGACCTAATTTGAAAGAAACTCACCCACCATAAACTGATTTCTATCTGCCAGAACTGGCAGTACAATCAGTAGGATATGCGTGAAGAATACCGAATACATTTTGCATGCTTTTACTTAGAGATATCCATCAAATTAAACTTATTAAGTTGACTGCCTTTGAGGATGATGTAAAGCTGGCCAAATAAATGTTCGCACGTTTTCAACTGCAATGTTCGGAGGTCTGCACAGCAATGAGCATTGCTCGACATAAGAAATTAGAACAGAATCAGAGCTATGCTAATTTTAAAAGCCCGCGAGCGAAAAAGATCCCGAGAGAGGATCCCGTGCAGTTTGTTTTGCTCTGCCCATTCTAAACAATATAAAACATTCTGAGAGCAATAAATAATTAAAAGCAAAATTTGGGAGCACAGTTTTGTTTCCACTTGAAGCGGTGCCAATAAAATGCTTTTTTTTCGTTATGACTTATGGCAGAGCCTTACATCGCGTACCATAAACTTCTTATTAAATCGTTCATAAAAAACGAACAATTTTTCTATTTCGTTAGTGAGCAATGCAGGGGGGAGGGGAAGAATGATCGATTCCGATATTTAGTGCATGCTGAACTGTTAAAAATTAATATGTCGTCAAATTGCTACAACTGCTAGATTTCGTGCCATAATTGAACTATTTTCTAAAACTAGAATATTTTGATTTTCATGCTTAATAGAATGTTTAACAACTATGAATCTATAATGATTTTCCGCTAAACCTTTTGATCGTTCCAGTTCCAGCTATAAGATATCGTTGTCCGGTATAAAAAATAAAAATAAAATCGTTATTCTACATTAATAAAACATTACTTTGTAATGAATAGATTAAAAAATGCTAGGATATAATTTTGTCATATATTTTTTCCCTATTGTTCCCATAGAAGCTATATAATATAGTTGTCCGATTTTAATGAAACTAAAACCAATGCTCTAAAATATTAACCCATTACCACATTTTTAAGAATGTGAACAACGAAGTCTTCATTTTTTTATGATTTTTGGATTGGGAGCTATGTAAAAATTTAATTTAAAAACAGCGAATCTTTATCGTATATTTTAACCAAAAAGTTTGTCACCACAAGGCAGCATCCCAGTATTTACCACGGTAAATATACCCAGAAACCAACTTAGGTCGCTCAAAATGTCCACTTAAGGCATCATCATTACTACCTTTTCATCTACCCCAATTGGAAAAATGGTTATCTGATTGGCGCAATAAAGGGAACGATAGAAGAAAAATTATGTATCACTTCATAACTTACTGATACCATCTACAAATAAAGTCACATATCTCGGAGTACACCCAGATAGGCGTCTTACTTTGAGAAAGTAAAATAAGCAAAGAAATAAAACATACAGTGGCAGACTAAAGTCTACATACGACCCCTATTATTGGAGTTTAGCCAGCTCTGTAGAGTTTCCAGTAAAATTAATGATGCAGTCTTGTTTTAAATTTAATTATAAGACAAAAAGCAAAATATCGCCTTTATTCACCAATAACTTTCGAAGTTATTAACCGAAGACTGAAAAAAGGCACTGACAAAAGTGAACATACGTTTTGTTAGACAGCTGTTTCTGGTATTCCTTTTAGCTTATAACGTAAATGTTAACGAACAGGCCTGAAAATCCTGGATTAAGCCTAGTACTCAGATTGACAAACAGTTTCGCCAGCGAAAAAACTTTATTCTTTCTAGTGAGACCAAAGTTTCCAGAGTTCACCCGAGCTTGTGTGCTTCGGTCACACTGTCAATCAGCTGGGCTTGTTGACAAACAATTTAATTTGAGAAAGTAAAATCGAAGATGTTGAATATAAACGACGCCAGAGTTAAATTTGGTATTGGAATGTTAGCAAATACGCGGCTTTTTTGTGTTTTTTTCGCGATAACAATAGCAAGCGCAGCAAATCCTGCTCGAAGGTCCACAATGCATTACTGATGGATCTCTAACTGGAAATAACTCCCATACATATATACGGGGATTCTTGATCTTTTTTAAAAACAGTGGTGCTCTCCTTTGAAAACCCGTCAAACAGCACCATCTTCTCTGACCTGCACCTCCATAAAGAATTCAGACCTGGCTAAACGAAGGACTTTTTTAAGTTATGATACAGCAGCCTTCATTAACCTTTCCATGTCGATGGCATGCCTTGTCCTCATCCAGACGCTGCGGAGTGTATGACCTTTTCTGGCCAAGGCAGCAATTTCTGGCTTCGAAGCAGGGAAGGACTGCTGGGAAAAAACATAGACTGACTATCCGGACTAACCCGGAAATTTGTGTAACCTCACAATCTTATGGATCATCCGTTAAACGGATGGTGAATAAATCTCTGTGGAAAAAGGCTATTACGCGCTGCGCCACTAACGGCTTGCATTCTAAGTGCAAAAAGCCCCTATTACTTTTGTTTTTTTTTTTGTCAACATGATTTAGAAATCAAGTTATTTAAAATTGGGAAGGTAATTTAGGTTAGACCAAAAATTCAAGGTCATCTTTAAGAAATTCTAAGTATGTGTAAAACGCATATGCATGTAAAGTATGTTTTGATATGGCTTCACAAAAAAGCAGCTGCATAGAGACAAATTTTTGATTCTCGTTACTCATCTTAGTGTTATAGAGGGTTTGATTGTACCCTAATTTTATATTCTGTGTGTAAAAGTGTCAAATTTAAGTATAAGTAGGTCAATTTGATACTTCTTAGGTCATCTTGGCTTTTGGGTGTTTTCTGAAACTTAGTTAGTTATCAGTTAAATTAAATTGACCTATGAATATTGAATTGAACTGACACTTTTTTTGTTCTGTGTATACTTTATTACTCATGCCAAAGACATAATTTTGGTGTTGACTGTATCGACCTCTCTTCACGTCTTAGACCTTCTTGCGCACAATGTGATCGTAAAAGACGACGTATCCAAACCTGGGAGAGTATACCATCGAGCGCTTTGCGTTCCGAGAGTACATATTGGTCTGGCCGCCCACCGAGATCATTTTGTGGTCGCCTCGGTGCATGAACATCAGTCCGTAGTCGTGGTCGTGCATCACGTTGTAGTTGTCACTGTCGGTGTACTTGACAATGTTGTACCGAGGATTCGAGTAGCTGAGATGGTGGGGCATGGGCTTCAGCCGCGAGCGACCACCGAAGACTCCCCGCCAGTCAGTGTGTTTCACGGTCTCGCGGAAGCAGTTGCGCCAGCTCATCTCCAGGTCAATGTAGCCGGAGATCTCTGAGCCGTCGATGTTGATGTATGAGGTAAAGACGATTGTCTGTTTGGAAAAAAGGTATAAATTAAGTTAAGATAAGATAAGATAAGTAAGACATATCTGCAGTCAACTAGTGGTGTAATCAAGTTGAGGGATAAACTGCGCTTTTTATACCCTTGCAGAGGGCAGGGAGACACATCCGACCCTATAAAATATATATATTCTTGATCAGCATCACTAGGAGAGTCGATCTAGCCATGTCCGTCTGTCCGTTTCTACGCAAGCTAGTCTTAAACTATCTGCATGAGACTTCCCCAAAAGTTATCTTTCTATTGCAGAAAGTATATAAGTCGGAACGCACGACTATAATATGTAACTCCCATCGGAAAAATAAATAAAAAAAATATTAACTGTTTTTTAATTTTTTTTCTAAATCGAGATCATAGATCATCATAGGTTATGATTTCAGAATTACGACTTTATCTTAAAGCTCCCATGGAAATAATCAAACTGTTAAAAACAAATAAATAAAAATGTAACTTTATATTTTATTTTTTTTAAATTCGTTTTGACCTATTTATAATTTGATAGTTTAGAATATTGCTTTACGATATCATATATTTTTTTCTCAAGTTCTTATAGCTTTTGAGATTATGCAACTTTTGATATATAACACATTTCGAGCTTGGTAGTTTTTCTGCGTTTCAACCCATTTCAGATGTTTATAATTACATGTGCAAGTAATCGAGGTCGATGAAAAATACGTTGGTACGACTATACAGGTAAAATAAATCTCGGTAAGCTGAACACGACCTCATCATTGAAATTTCTCCACCCTTCGGTGGAGTACCCATAAACTTTGACTCTATATATCGGCCGTACTGAATTTTACTGCCTGAACCTATAATCCTTTTGCTATAGTGAAACTTTTTGGCTAAATATCTTTAAACCCAAAAAAGTCCTAATTTTTTATTGTTAATTTTATATTTGGAAAAGAATGCCAACACATCAAAAGATCTAAAAGCACTTTTTTTGGTGGTCCTAAGAGTATGCTATAACATTTTTATGAAAACACCAAGAATATTGAAGTCAAATTGTAGTTATTTTTAATATTTGCACTATCAACAGCTTGTTTTGATACTGCTTTCTGACAAAAACAATTTTATTATTGACACCTGTAACGGTAATTTTTAATAAAACAACGCTGTACAATTTTCATGCATTGTCAAAACTGTGTGTTATGGTTTTTTCAATAGCCAAGTCATAAAGGGATTTCTCGTGGTCGTGGTTTTGATGTTTTATTTTATTGTAACTAGGTCTTGGAGCTCTGCAGTCATAGGACTTATTTCTAACAAAAACTTTTAATATCAAACACAAACACCTCTTGATGAGCTGAAAATAAAGTGACAATCGCACCTTCAACTCCAAAAATGTTTGACTTGTGACATGAGAATTCCAAATAAGAGTGCCAAATACAAAACTTGAGCAAACTACGTTGATGAAAGACTTTAAAGATTAACTAGCAAACTTCGGTAAGCAAGTTAACTTAAATTAAAAATAGTTTTAAAATTTAATTTGTAAAAATTATTTAAAAATTTATTAATATTAAGTAAATACGCTTCTTTCTTTGACTTAAAAACGCTTTTTGAAACAATTTTTCTCCCTAAATTAACGATGCATACTTTAAGAAGAAATTAATGCCTAGGCAGAGTTAGCTGCTTTGAACTAAGAAAAGTTTCCGTTTTTTTGCTTAATATCAAAAAAGTAAAAAAAAAGATAAGGCCGTTAAAAAAAAACTTGTTAAAATTTTAAAAATATAGTAACTATATCAAGGCAGCGAAATTAGCAATTAAGATAATTTTAGGGTCTAGGGTTCTAAAAAAACCCTTCAAACCGACAAAAAGAGGCTCAAAAATTAACATTTTGAAATATACAATTAAAAGTATATTAGAATAAATTCTCAGGCCAGCTTGGTGTCTTTCGACGCTTAATTTCAACAAAATTGTAACCAAACTAAAGATTTTCCTATCCGGTCCCAGAAGCTCCAATTAAAAATAAAATAGTACATATGTTATTTTCACCGCTCTATCCTGAACCAAATAAATTTTGAAAAGTCTTGGTATGCACACCACATTCTATTAGCGATACCTTTCGATTGGTGTAATGCATGTCACGATCGGACAATCACAGCAAGATTTCAATTGTGCGGCTATGCATTGTAGTCTCCTATCTACACGCTCTTGGTGCCCATCGTCACTACTTGTACCGTCGCCCATAGTGATTAGAGCATGAAGTCTTTTATAGAATGCGATTGTCTTACCGACAGAATTTTGTTCAAGTTGAGCAACTCGCGGGACTTAAACTCCAGAAGCACGGGGTCCTTGTTAGTGGGCGCCATGAGGTCGCAGAACAGGCCAATGTGGGTTGTCTTTGGCCTAATGGCCTCCAAGGCTATGTCAACCCTCTTCACATATTCGTCCGAAGTATAGGGAATCTTGGTGGTGCGATAGCCCAACTGGACGATGGTCTTGATCGTGTTCTGGTTGCTCAGATATCGGTAGTCCTCAACGGTGGCAAACGAGGTGATGTAGTCATTGTAGGTGTCGAACTCCAAAACGCTGAAATCGACATTCTTGCCCTGTGCGCTCATTTTAGTGTGATTGTTGGCGTGGATGTGGACGGACTTCAGCCGAGAGCTGATTCGTGCTCTTTGTGTGGGCTAAGAAAAAGTCCACAAAATGTTGTTTGTGATGTGTGTTTATTGTGTGTTAGTGTTCCTTATCAGAGCTATTTTTCAACTTTATGTACATTTTGTTTGGCTGTCATTTCTCGTTTCTGGCTTACACATTACACATGAAAATGGTTATTGATACATCTACGTCTATAAAGATAGCACTGTTTTAGTACTAGAGCGGCCGTTTCATTCGTATTATCTTGGTGCAGTAGCAAAACTGCTTGTAATGGATGAAAAGGAACCAGATTTAAAAATATTTGAAGCCGAAAAGCAACTGAAACAGACTAGCGATATGGAAAGAAAACACGGCACCGCCTACACTAACTACCTCAATTCGTTCATCAAGGTGGAGGACAGACGGTATCTTCCCAATGATAGTGTAGTGCTCCGCCAAGTGCCCTTGAGAGCCGCAGTGGGCACGATGGTGATGACACCTTCCCAGTTCAACGAGGTGCACCTTCCTACCCTGGGAAAGTTCATCTATTTCAGCGATAAAAGTGTCGCTAACGACCCGCTGACCATGGCTCTTGCTGAGCGCGAGAAGCTAAATGTATCGAAAACGCTGTCGGTAAGAAACTTTTCTTTCAAAATTCACTGTTCGCTAATAAAGTTTTTCTACACGAAAAATTGAATGCTAAGTCCAATTCCGATAATTCATTTTCGCAGTTTTGTATGCATTTTTTGTTTTATTTTATTTTAGTTTTAGAATCAAAGTTTTTCGTGTTATATTACTCAACTTTGATTTCAGATCGATTTTTGATGAAGTTAAGTTTAGTTAAACAAAGAGATTTTTAAATTAATTTACCTGCCGAAATAATTGTTCGTTAACTGAAGGGATGAGAAACGATTCATACACATAAGCTAAAGTGAGGAAAAGAAAACGTCTCGCAAAATTTAGTAACCTCCATGATCAGCTTAATATTTTAAATACAAATAGTAAACTGGTTCGATTCATTTAAGATTCAAAATATCATAATAAAATTGTCTAAAACATTTTTCTAATCGATAGCTAATAGTTTATCCATTTCTTTTAGACCATCATCTTTGTGAGCACACGTGACTCCAAGGGTTTTTGTGTGTCGGGCTACATTGACTTGGAGCAAAGCTTACGTTGCTTCCAGGGCGCTGGGGTCAAGGGTCACCCTTGGGCAGATATTTTCGCCGGCCGCCGTCGCCTAGAACCCAATCAACAGGATCTGAGCTTCATCACTTGGAACAATGGCAAGGTCTTTTACAACGACTCCGATAACTACAAGATTATTCCGGATGCCGTCAAGGGCCTATGTTTCTTGTACAAGGGCGATGGCTCTCTGCTCACTATTGAAAAATATATTACCGACGAGCATCCACGATGCAAATTTATAGAGTCGCCAAAACATGGATCGACTGTCATTTACGATCATCGTATACGACGGAAGATGTGATTGAAATGTTTAACAAACAAAGTGGACCAACAAATCGGATTTTTGTTTGCCGCCATAGCAAATTAAAAGTGAAATATGAAAGTCTTTTTCAATAATGTAAGTATCAACTTAGATTCTATCTCTTGCTGATTTCATTTTAGAATATATCCTAAGTCACCGACTGTCCTATACAATCATCGTATATGACGGAAGATGTGATTGAAATGTTTAACAAAGTGGACCAACAAATCGGATTTTTATTTGCCGCCAAAGCACATTTAAAGTGAAATATAAAATATTTTTTTTAAATAATGTAAGTATGAATTCGCATTTTATCTCTTGCTGATTTCATTTTAGAATACATCCGGTTCCAGAATACATGCAGTTCCGCTAGATATTGTACACAAAAGCACTTCAAATGGCCGATCCTCAAAATATTTGGCACGCAATCGAGAAGAGGAAAAACAATCGAGCGGAGGAAGTGGCGAACGGCCGGCCAGACTGTCTGATGCCGCCGACGTCATGGACAAGCGCCGCAAAGCATCCGGAGAGCACGTTGCGTATACGAGATGTGGGATGGGCTCGCTCTCGACGACTGGAGAGAGTTCGCCGGCTGAGATCCCATTCTTGGCTGTGCCACTCGGTCCGGCAGTCAATTCAGTAGGCGTGCGGAGCGCTCCAAGACTGGCTGCTTCCGTTGCGTGAAAATAAATTCCTAAGAATACCCCACTATGTGTTTTTTTACTTAGTTTTCTGTGCCAGTCTGTGTGCGTCCGTAGATATTATATATACTTGTACATATGCAGCTAAGAAGTGAAAACGAAATGGCTGGTGCATTTACAAAATTCAATTAGTTTCGAGTGTCTTGAGGTAAACAACAATTTGGAGGAAAGAAAGAAAAATGCGTTTGCGTCCAGTCCACATTTATGCACTCATAATCGCCTACTTCAAAGCCAGTCTCGCCCTTGGCGGTGACGGTCGCCATGAAATCACCGTGGGTAGGTCCTCAACAATTCGTAAAGGCTTTTGGCTCAAAATTTTGGTATACACTTAGGTGCGATCTTCTATGAAAATGAAAAAGACATCGAACTCAGCTTCGATCAGGCGTTTCGCGAGGTCAACAATTTAAAGTTCGCCGAATTGCGGTTCGTTACCATCAAGCGTTTTATGCCCACCAACGACAGTTTTCTTCTGCAGCAGATTAGTAAGTAGATAATCACAGATCTCGTAGAACTAAGTTATGAGGAATTCATCTTCCGTGTACAGCGTGTGAACTGATTTCCAATGGCGTTGCGGCTATTTTCGGACCAAGTTCAAAGGCAGCCAGTGGTACGTCGAGTGTAAGGCTAGCATATGTTCGCGTTGTGACGGTCCCCTTTCTATCGCAGACATTGTTGCGCAAATCGCAAACACGACCGGCATTCCTCACATTGAGTACGATCTGAAGCTGGAGGCCACGCGCCAGGAGCACCTGAACCACCAGATGTCCGTCAGTGTGGCCCCCTCCCTGTCCGTATTGTCGCGCGCCTACTTTGAGATCATCAAGACCAACTACGAGTGGCGCACCTTCACTTTGATCTATGAGACGCCCGAGGGTGAGTGCTGACTCAAGCTCTAAGCTTGAATGACGAAAAATTAAAACAGTTATGTATAAAGCAATAATTATATAAATAATTAATACAATAGTAACACATTTTAAACAGAGCAAACAGAAAAAACATTAAAACCTTTTCAATGGCAGTTTTAACAGTGTTTACATCAAAAGTATGGTATTTCATACCATACTGTTTGGAAACAAATAGTGGTTTTGAATTTCAATTTCAATATGCCTTACCGACAGATGGCGTTCAACCTTTATTATTTTCCACACCATTAGAATTTCACATAGCGCCATCTGCTGGTAACTTTAATTTTATAAACAATGAAACGAGGTTCTGGACTAAAGCGTTCTTTCTTGTTTTCATTTACTAATTTAAAGATTTTAGGTACCCAAATTCGAAAATCAAATTTTTAGCTTTATATCTCTCTAAAATAAAGATTTAATGACTTAAGTATGACATTTATTTTTCACTCATCTTAGGGCTGGCACGCCTACAGGATCTTATGAACATTCAAGCTCTCAACAGTGACTACGTGAAGCTTCGTAATTTGGCGGACTACTCAGATGACTATCGGGTACTGTGGAAGGAAGCAGATGAGACCCTACATGAACAGCGCATAATTTTGGACTGTGAGCCGAAAACTTTAAAGGAGCTGTTAAAGATTTCCATGGACTTCAAGCTGCAAGGACCGTTCAGGGTATGTAGCTTGATATGAAATACCCAAAACACCTTAAAAACAAAGATTTATTTAAAGAACTGGTTTCTCACGCATCTGGACACGCATAGTTCCGGACTGAAGGATATCTATAATGAAGATTTTAAGGCTAACATAACCTCAGTGCGAATGAAAATAGTAGACCCTAATCCCTTCGAAAGAAAGAAGACGCGTATTTCCAAGGTGGATGTAAGTTGAATCTGGAGTGCTCATGGGATTGGGTCTAATTTGGAATACTCCTCAGCAAATATTGGGAAACCAAACCATGCTGCCCATTCTTATCTACGACGCTGTGGTCCTGTTTGCCAGCTCAGCCCGAAATGTTATTGCTGCCATGCAGCCCTTTCACCCACCCAATCGTCACTGCGGCAGTCCTTCTCCCTGGATGCTCGGACCATTTATAGTCAACGAAATGAAGACGATCTCCGAGGATGATGTGGAGCCGCACTTTAAGACTGAGAACATGAAGCTGGACGAAAATGGCCAGCGCACCCACTTCAATCTCGAGATCTACAAGCCCACCGTGAACGAGCCCATGATGATCTGGACGCCCGATAGTGGAATTAAGACGCGTCGCCTCAATCTGGAACTGGATAGTGCCGGCAGCCCTCAGGATTTCTCGGAACAGCGGAGGGTCTACACAGTGGTAACGCACTACGAAGAGCCCTACTTTATGATGAAGTCAGTTTGCAGCAATCAAGTGGTTTTTGACAGATCATAGAATTTCTTTGCTTTCCTTAGAGAGGATCACGAGAACTTTAGGGGTCGCGAGAAGTACGAGGGGTATGCCGTAGACCTCATCAGAAAAATTTCCGAGCTGATGGAGTTCGATTATGAGTTCATGATAGTCAGCGGCAATGGCAAATACAACCCAGAGACAAAGCAATGGGATGGAATTATACGCAAACTGATAGACCATGTAGGTCACATCGGAATGGATTCTCTAAAGCCACGTATATATATTTAATTTTCTTATATCTTAGCATGCTCAAATAGGCGTTTGCGACCTGACAATTACCCAACTGCGACGATCTGTTGTGGACTTCACGGTGCCCTTCATGCAGTTGGGCATCAGCATTCTGCACTACAAGAGCCCCCCGGAACCGAAGAATCAGTTTGCCTTCTTGGAGCCTTTTGCTGTTGAGGTCTGGATCTACATGATCTTTGCCCAATTGGTGATGACTTTGGCTTTTGTTTTTATCGCCAGGTGGGTATTTGTTTGATTTACCTATTCTGAACGCCTTTCCAGGCTCATAAGCCTTTTTCAGGCTTTCCTATCGCGAATGGCTGCCACCAAATCCAGCTATTCAGGATCCAGATGAGCTGGAGAATATATGGAATGTGAACAACTCGACTTGGCTGATGGTGGGCTCTATAATGCAACAGGGTTGTGACATATTACCTAGGTCAGATATTGTTTGTAAAACTAACTGGTTACTAGTTATTGTTAATGGCATTTTCGGTTTGGCATTAGATCTTACAAATAATAAGCCAAATCCAAAATGTTCATGAAACAAATCGGTGTTAAAAAAATACAAAAGAGCAATGAAAATGCATACATATCAGTAGTTTTGCGAAATGGATATACAATTATATAATTATTTCTATACAATATGTTTTTCAAAATATTAGAGGTCCCCACATGCGTATTTTGACTGGAATGTGGTGGTTCTTCGCCCTGATGATGCTCAGTACGTACACGGCCAATTTGGCGGCCTTTTTGACCAGCAACAAGTGGCAGAGTAGCATTAAGAGCCTGCAGGACCTAATCGAACAGGACGAGGTGCACTTCGGCAGCATGCGAGGCGGCAGCACCTCGCTGTTCTTCTCCGAGTCCAACGACACTGACTACCAGCGGGCCTGGAACCAGATGAAGGACTTCAACCCGTCCGCCTTTACCAGTACGAACAAGGAGGGCGTGGCCCGGGTGCGCAAGGAGAAGGGTGACTACGCCTTCCTGATGGAGACCACCAGCCTGACCTACAACATCGAACGCAACTGCGACCTGACCCAAATCGGTGAGCAGATCGGGGAGAAGCACTACGGCCTGGCCGTGCCCCTGGGTGAGTCGTCATGCCAGCGAGTGCAGTGAATGCGGATTATCGATAGCAGTGCTTTCCATTTCGATCAGGGGCCGACTACCGAACCAACCTCAGCGTGTCCATACTCCAGTTGAGCGAAAAGGGCGAACTGTACAAGATGAAGAACAAGTGGTGGAAGAACCACAATGTCACCTGCGACTCCTTCCACGAGGTGGACGGCGACGAGCTGTCCATCATTGAGTTGGGCGGCGTCTTCCTTGTACTGGCCGGAGGCGTCCTTACCGGCGTGATCCTGGGCATCTTCGAGTTCCTCTGGAATGTGCAACACGTGGCAGTGGAGGAGCGCGTGACCCCGTGGCAGGCACTGAAGGCGGAGCTCGCCTTTGCCCTCAAGTTCTGGGTGCGCAAGAAACCGATGAGGATCTCGAGCAGCAGCGACAAGTCTTCCTCCAGACGGTCGTCCGGCTCCAGGAGAAGCTCCAAGGAGAAGACCCGCAGCAAGACCGTCAGTTAGGAGCTCTCTTGAGTTGGTTGCTTATTTAACTTTGCCATTTCAAAGAAATGGTACGCTTGTCCATATACATGCATACATATAGGAGTATATGTATGGAGCTAAATTTATAACAATATTTTAGAACACAGATGAAGCATTTGGTATATATGGTAAGGCGGCTTGGAGAACTTTGGAGGGCTTATAGATACATTTTCTGCTAAAATAACTTATTTTATTTTTCTTTAGACTCTTATGATTTAACAGTTGACAATAAACACAAATATTTCAAAAAATTGTTTTCGTTTTTTTTACTTATACTCTTGCTGATATTAAAATTGGTCAGACGATGTAAATAAGCAAGGAAATTCCCAAAACCTAAAGAGCTTAGAGTATAAACACATTTAAGTCTGTAAGCATGCCAGTTATGCTTGTTTCTACACCTAGAAAAATAAAGAAAATAATTTTTATGAACAATCTGTTCGCCAGTTGTTGTTCACAATTTTTACAGGTTTGTTAACAAAAATCGAACGCCGTTCCTTAACACTAAATTTTGTAGGAATATCAAAAAGTAGGTAAGCTTCGGTGCTGAAATGTCAAACTAAGGTTTTCAATTAATTTTTTTTTGTTAATATTCTGTTCCTATTTTAAGCAGTAAGAGACAGAACGAAAGAACTGTTAGACACTTGATTGCAAACATTTTTCTTTGAATTCTTAAACGGACTTAGTACAAAGTAAAATGTGATGCCAGTGTTGCACAACCTGTTACAAATTCAAAGGTCCTCGGTTTGAGTCAAGGTTAGATCGACTTCCTTTTTCCTGTACCTATCAGTTTATCGTATTTTCTTTCATTCTAATTTTAAAGAGTCAAATGAAATCAAAAAGAAAGTAAATAAGACAAATTTTACTTATTAGTAATTCAATAACAAAATGTTCTTAAAGTAACCCCGTTCGTTTGGAATGCGACCCTAACATTTTTTGCTCAAATTTTATAAATTGTCAAGAAACGACCTTACAAACTTTTTGAGAGCATCTGGTCTTGTTTTTTTTTACCGTTTTGACTGGATTTTTTCTGTGCATAAGCAGTTTTTCATTTTTAAATTAAAATATATATTTTATGTTGTTAAATATTATCTAATCATTTTGTTATAAATACTACTAAACAACAGGCAACTATTCTTAAAATCATAACTTTGTTATTTTTAAAATTAAAACAAAATTTTTTACTTGATCCCTATCATAAAAATTAAGCTCTCTGTGTATAATATGTTCCGATCTTAAAATTTTTTTTGGCTTTTCCCCCACTTCTGTTTGAATTGATATACTCTGCTTAGCTAGTTACGGGGCGTCCGGCTTGTCTAATTTTAGAGAACATTTAGTTTTCATTTGCTGGTCCATTTCCAGCTAATGCTCGTGCTCGTATCTGCAAGGCCTAGAGTCTAGAGACTAGACATGTGCTGGCTGCTCTTCTTGGCGTGTGAGGAATCCGTAGAACGAATCAGACTCCGCTATGCTCCTTCCACTCACAATGGTTGTTGTTCTCAATGACGTAGTAAGTCCCACATAGATCGGCCAATGCAGAGGTTAAAAAATTCAATTTTTTGTGAGGTTTTCTCAGTGCTCTTCGAGCAGTGCCCCGGTCTGGATCTGACCGAGTTCTTTTGTCCGAAATATTGCGTTGCGTTGTTTGTTCACTTTAATTTGAGGTTTTTAAAGTGCTTTCGACGGAAGGAAAATCGAGATTGTGCATATACGATCAAATTTATGCACAGCATACATAGATGACAATGTCGACTCTAAAGTTTTTAGTTCTTGTGACACTGATTTCATGCAGCGGCGCCAATGAAGATCCTCTGGTAGTAAAAATTGGTTGGTTAAAAATACAAGGGTTCGATTGAAATTCGCAAAATATTCGCACTGCAATTTCGTTTAGGAGCCATTTTCTTCGACACGGAAATGAAGTTGGCCGAAGCCTTTACTGTGGCAGTGGAGGAAGTGAATGCCATAAATCCTGATCTGAGATTGGAACCAATCAAGCGCTATCTGAGTGTTGACGATAGCATTGTGCTGCAAGACCTGTGTGAGTCAACCATACTAATGGGATAAGTCTGCAAGTAGACATTTCAATATCACTCCCTTTAGCTTGTGACTTGATTGGAAATGGGGTGGCCGCTATTTTTGGACCAAGTTCAAAGACGAACAGCGGTAAGTTTCTTTTTCCTTTGTATGCCCACTAGTTAAATTATTTTTAAATCGAATCATATGCTTCGGTGTCATAAAATAGTGTGTGCCTGCATATACGTACGTATACAAATTCATAAAAAAAAAGCAGAAAATTAGCGAAGAAGATGCAGAGTCAAACACATTTTGTCTGCGTTTCTTGAGAGAATTTCTAAAGGCTCGTCAACCTCGTTAATGATTCTTCAAAATAGCCAAACACACTCACATATGTTGGCCGTAAAATTGGATCCAAATATTTTTGCAGTAAATAAAGGGTACGGTGGTCGGGGACACTTTGAACTGCTGCCAAGAAAAATCCCCAACACATTTGCTTCTGTTGTGCTCTTTGTGTTTTGATCGCCACTTTCGTTGTGTGATTTCGTAGTTCCCCGGATCATTCTAAACAAAAATATACAAGTCTTAATAATTCTGGCTCACTTCCCACATTATCTCTCTCTCTTTCTCTCTCTTTAACCTATAGATATAGTCCAAGTTCTGTGTAATATGACGGGTATACCGCATCTGCAGTTCGATTGGCAACCCCAACTGTCGGCCAGAGAACGTGTCAACCACCAGCTTACTGTGAATGTCGCGCCAATGGAACTATTACTTTCCTCAGCTTTTTCTGATATTTTGGGTAGCAAGAGCTTCGACTGGAAGTCCTTTACCATTGCCTACGAGAAAAATGCTCGTATGTACTGAATTTACATTTATTTTTAATAGTCTCAATATTTGTTTGATTCATCAGGTTCTTACCAGAATGTTTTTAAGTTTAAACGATTAACGAGTTTACACAGTTTTTAAGCGCTTATAAAACAACATAGCAGAAAGAAAATTTCTCACTTTACAGTAGCAGACAAAAATCCGGACAGGCAAAAAATGTTAGTTTGGTAAATTTTTATGTTTGTTTTTTTTTAAAGAACCTTTTTAATTAACGAACTTAATGAACGTTTTTTTTAGCCTCAACAACTCTTTTTTGATTCCAGGGTGGTTTTTTTTACAAAAAAATTTTACAACTTAAATTATTGATAATTTTTAAAAACTGAACCTTTAACAAAATTTGTTTTTTAATTTTCAAAGTAAATTTCACAATATATGAAACTTTACCATTAGCGCTAATATCGCTGAGTCTTAAAATTTTCCATCGCAAAGCCAATATGTAACCTTTATGTGCTTCAGTCATTTTTGATATGTTTCACTTTTTTTATTTATTTTTTGCACCAAAAGCTTAGGTAAATCTACCTAACTAGATTTTAATACTAAAGGCTTCTACCTTGTTGGCACCTAAACCTGCTGTTTTTTCTGAAATTGTTTTTTTTGGAATATATGATAGGTAATGCCGAATAAAACTACAAAACCATACCCTAGGTGTCCGGATTTCTTTGTCCACTACTGTATTTACAAGAACATGACAGATCGGATTACAATTCAAGGATTTTCTGGCAGTCTCTATATATACATTTGTGTAACTCAGTTTTTTCAATTTCAATGAACTTAAGCCAATAATTACTTAACGAGTTAATGTGAGGGTTTTCGGAAGTTAACTCTGCATTTACAGAAGGAAACAATTTCAAAGGGCTCTTTGTGAAGATGATTTAAGATTGAATACGAGAGAATTTTAGTTAAGCAAATAAAAACCAAATTTTTTTACATCTTCACATTACTTTCTTAACACATTTTTAGACGAGACAGATGTATTTCAAGGAAAATGCAAGTCTAAATATGGTGAAAATATATTCCGAAATTTTAATAAGTGATAAATACAATTAATGTTAACTTTCGTAAAGAGAACAGAACATATTTTAATTTAGCTGGAAATGAACTTGATCCATGACTACGAACATAAGTACACATTTTATAAAATGGTAGCGATTTAATGCTTTTTGTTGATCTGCATGTAAACAAATTGAAAATTTGTCTCCAATATCTTATTCGATAAATAGAATCCGGAAAAACATTATTGTATTATATTTTCTGTACTTTACATCATCCAGGTCTTGAATCCGTAGTAGTCTGTTGCAAGCCTTTTTGATCACTCCCATTTTATCCTAACCCTTACCTTTGACCTTTCCCAAAAGACCTCAATCGTCTGCAGCACATCCTAGCATGGAAACAACTCCATAAAACAGGAATCAAGATGCAGGAATTTGAGCGGGGAGGGGACTATCGAGTTCTCTGGAAGCGCATAAACAACGCTCGTGAGAAATTTGTTGTGCTTGACTGTCCGTCCGACATTTTAGTGGACGTTATCAACGCCTCGATTGGGTTTAACATGACTGGGTCATTTAATGTGAGTATTGAAACCGTTCTCTCTCTAAGGCTTTTGCAATTATTCGACATTTAACCTCTTGAAAAGAGTGCCTTTAGTCAATTGTTTCTAACTCAATGAAACAGGTATCTCTTTATTTTTTAATTTTGCATCATAATTAATATTAACCCATCAAGTTATAAATTCTAAAGCTAGAAAAATGAGTCCTACTTAAAAATAGGTAAGCTAGAACCAAGATATTCAAATTATACAATTTTCGCCCGAAGTTGTTTCTATGGAAATCTCCTTGAAAAAGGTGATTGACCCATAATTTTATGCCAATTTTTCATGAGTTAATGGATATGTTTTCTTAAATTTAGGGAAATTTTCCTTAAGTTTGGGCGATGTTTCTAAAAATTTTTCTTAATGAAGTGCAATGTTTCTTAAATTAAGGGAAATTTTTTTTTCAAGAAAATATATACCTTATAGGGTCGGAGACATCTCCTTCACTGCGTTGCAAACTTCTGACTGAAATTATAATACCCTATCCATGGATATAAAGACAAAAGACTATTAACTTAATTTAAGAAAATATATTCATTAAAAACTATAAAATAACTGAGTTTTTGTTTATTAAGTTTGAATTTAAAAACAACTAGTTATTTACATTTACATTGACTGGGCTGGGCTAAAGTTTAAGTTTATTATTTGCAATGCATTAACAAATCGTTTCTAGATGAGTATTTCTAGTAATTAGTTTCCCAAATATTAGATATCCGTTACTTAGCCAACAAATTTCGAACTAAGTATTCCTACTACAAAACGATCGAAGTTTAGGTGGCGTCAAGTGTCGAACTGCATAGACAACACTATCAGCTAAGTGCGTGCAGCACCCCACCTCCCGCTTACAGTTCTTTCGTTTTGACTCTCTACTGAAGCGATTTCAGGCAAGCAGCGGCTGAGAGGCGGCACAGGGGCGGCAGAGCGGCGGAAGAGGACTCCGAAGCCCCAAACCTTCTAAAATATTAGCTTCATTTTGAAAATTTATGTGTTTACCGATAGGTATGACCGAAACACACACACAAAGTCCAACACATAAAAGCTAACATGTCTCATAGCGACGTGACAGACGTGTTAAGTGTTTTGCGATTTGTGGGCGTGGCTCCGTTTTGATATAAACTTGCGCTGCGTAGGATAAACTAGAATCTTTTGATTGATTACTAGATTTAACATTACTTTAAGGAAATCTGTTTGGTTTTTATAGTGGTCACAGCAAAACGATCACCCTCAGATCAGCTGTAGCTTGTATCACTAACCATACAACATGGTGTATGGTTAGTGCTTGTATCCAAATAAATATTTATAATAATACTAAGTCTTAAAATACATTTAAAAGTTACCATAATATGAGAATTTTTAGATCAATAAATTATAATTTTTTTCTCCGAAAACATTCTGCGAAATTCGCTTTTATTCGGCCGATTTTTATTCTGAGGGTAGTTACTTGGGAATTAAACATAGATTCGAGAAATCGACCCGTAGGTAGTACATCCGCGTTACAAAGGCATACATAATTTAACAACTACTAACATAAATTAAGTACAAAAATAATTTTATTTTTTTACGCAGCATCTATTTTTAACGGATCTGGATACCCACGTGAGCGGCATCGATCGTTTCTATTCTAGGGAATTTACTGTGTCTGTGGCGGCTGTAAGGTTACGATCCTATATTCCCCCGCCAGTTCACGATGAAATTGATGTATTTGACAACGAGGTCGACACCAGGGTATGATCGAATGACATAACTCGCCTGATTTTGTGCTCATTTCAATAACTATCTTAAAGTTTGATTCACTTGGAACTCAGCTTGTATATGACTCGGTTGTTCTGTACTATAACGCTCTTTTGGTAATAAGCCAGCGTCCAGGGTTCTACGTTCCTCAGTTTAGCTGTGGGCGTGGCTTTTGGCAGCCAGGACCGCGTTTGGTAGACCAAATGAAAAATGTAAGTTATAGATAGAAATATACAAATTTTCACAACCTTCTTATACTGTGTTTATAAAACGAGTTTTCAAAAAACTGATTTAATATACAATATTAACACCATAAAATATATAAAATAATATTATTTAGTTAATATAGTATTAAAAATATTATATTTTTAATTAATGTTTTTTAAGCTATTATATACATTAAATTTGTTTCGGAATAGTTATTAGTAATTACTATTCCGAAACAAATTTAATGTATATTATTAGTAATTACTATTCCGAAACAATTTTAATGTATATAATACATAATATGGTCGTCATAAAAAGGTTACCAAATTTTGTTACTAAACTCTATAAAAATAAATATATTAAATATTATGTAAATATTAAAGACTTTTAAAATGAAAAAGCGCATACTTTAGTTACCAAGCCATTTGAAAGAAAAAATTTGTTATACATCAACCAACATGAGTTTCAATAACCTGCTCTATGGCATTGCGTTAGTGTTTTTAGTTTACTTTTTGTTTTCTTTTTTCTAGCACTGTTGACTTAAAAAAATGTTTTTAACTCGTCTTCCGTAAATTTTCGGGATACACGACATTTTTAATTCTTTAAAAAGTTATTTTGTATTATACTTCCATACTCAAATTTAGTAACACTTTTTTTTTTAGATTTCTCCAAAGCAAGTCAAGCCTCCCTTCAAAACCCAAAGACTACAAATAAATACTGATGGTCAGCGCGAAGATTTCAATCTTGAAGTTTTCAATCCCCTCATCGATCGCGTTACTCATATATGGAACAAAGATTATCAACTCGTGGACTATGAACAATTAAGGGAGAATTCGACTCAGGCCGTTAAACAGAGACGTATGGAAAACAAAGAGGACTTCTCCCAAAAGCCAGTTCGGTATACAGTGGCAACTCGGGTGGGCAAACCCTACTTTAGTTGGCGGTTAGTTCATAATATTACGCTGCTGTGAAAACATAAGCTCGAAGTGTTTGTTTTAGTGAGGAACCCGAAGGAGTTCACTTCGAGGGAAATGAACGTTTTGAAGGCTATGCCGTGGACCTAATTTACAAGTTGGCCCAGGAATGCAAATTCGATTTTAACTTTGAACCTGTCAGGGACAATAAATATGGGAGCTACGATGCTGTCACAGATGAATGGGATGGCATTATTCGACAATTGATTGACAATGTAAGTATAACTACAAAAATTACAAGCTAACTTAAAGCGGGACAAGAAATCATTACCGTATATCGTTCTACTCGAAATCGTCGTTTTATTGCGCTTTAAATGTATGGCTTTTAACACAAATTCAAGCAAGAAAGAAACCAAAAACATCTATATCTGGAGTTATAAGCGTATATGTTGAAACAAGTTTTTCAATAATTTTGCAATTTTTCCTATAACTAAAACCTTTATGATAGTAGACTGATTTTATTTAGGTAAGAAATATTTTTTAATATTATTTTACGACAGAATGCACAAATTGGAATATGTGACTTGACCATTACGCAGGCGCGTCGGTCGGTGGTGGACTTCACTGTTCCCTTCATGCAGTTGGGAATAAGTATTTTGTCGTACAAGGAGCCACCGCCGAAGGCAGACATGTACGCCTTCCTTAATCCGTATGGAGTCGAAGTTTGGCTATATGTAATGATTGCCATGATGATCACCGCCCTGGCCCTGATTCTTACCGGTCGCATGGATCAATTCGAGTGGGAGCATCCGGTGGAGAATGTGGACCACGAAATGGAGCGGGAGAACATCTGGCATCTGAACAACACCATGTGGCTGGTGCTGGGCTCGATACTCAATCAAGGCTGCGATCTTTTACCAAGGCAAGTGGTTTATATTCAATTTGTTGCATTTAATGAAATGTCAATAGGGATGGAAAAGGATTAGGACTAGCTAGTTTCATCTGCATATCACCTCAGATTCATCAGCTATATACGGATAGCGTGGGAAACTTATCTATGTTAAGATCTGAAGCTTAACAATCGTTAGTTGTCACTTTACGAAATACATTACTACTTGTTTTTTAAATGTTTCCAGCTCTCTAGCTGTGTTCACATACGGGGGGACTAAAGATCCTTTGCGAAAACATTAAAAATAGATATCGGGATATATTAAACGTAAACTGTTTAGATTGAACATGCAGACTTCTTTGAGTGACACTGCGAGCGTATACAAATTCTCCCGACCGTTGGGAGTTATAATCAGGGAACTGAATTATTGGTTTATGGTCTTGTTTTGCATGGGTTCGTTCTGTCAGTCGGGGAACTCGATTATAGCTCAGAATCTGTGAACTTGCCATTTGTAATTGTAGCCGTAATATAGATTTGGTCATAGTCGTAATACTTGTCGTACTTGCTTATTTTTTTAGAGGTCTGCCCATGCGTTTGCTGACCGCCTTCTGGTGGATCTTTGCCCTGCTCATATCCCAGACCTATATAGCCAAGTTGGCTGCATTTATCACCTCTTCGAAGATTGCTGGCAACATCGGCTCTCTCCATGATCTTGTTGACCAGAACAAGGTTCAGTTTGGCACCATCCGCGGAGGCGCCACGTCGGTGTACTTCTCGGAATCGAATGACACTGAAAACCGGATGGCGTGGAACAAGATGCTGTCCTTCAAGCCGGATGCCTTCACCAAGAACAACGAGGAGGGCGTGGACCGCGTCAAGCTAAGCAGGGGAGCTTACGCCTTCCTGATGGAGACAACCAATCTGCAATACTACGTTCAGCGAAACTGCGAGCTCACCCAGATTGGGGAGAGTTTCGGCGAGAAGCATTACGGAATAGCAGTTCCACTGAGTAAGTTGTCCCGAGATATATTCATTTGAAACATATTTGATTTAATTTGTATTATTTGTAAAAGAAGCTTAAGAGTTTTCGAAAAGGTTGTAGTTTGTTTTAATGTTAGGTCTAAAAGTCCATCAACAAAGTCATGATCCGACAAAGGCGTGCAAGCAAGTGAGTCAGTAGGAGAGGACCAAGATATATCTCGGAGATCTTAATCTCTCTAAATAATCAATTGATCCCTGTCAGAAAGAAGAGGTAGAACAATCTGTGATATTCATATATTAAACTGTCAGATCCAGGGGGGTTATAGCAACAGGTTACAAAAATAGATAAGGCATGTAAGGAAACTTTTTCACTAACAAACTCTATTCCATTGGGGTAAACAGGCTGAATTATCTCGAATGCAAGACTGGAGTAAACAGCAATAAACACCCTATAACGCGATCGGTTCTATAGGTTATTTGGAAATACTTCGATGGAAATACTTGGAAGTCTCCGGTTTCAGTCAAGTTTCTGTGAAGATTTAAATAAGTTCATTAAAGCAGCAGTGAGCGTAAAGCCTAGGTATCATCATTTTAAGTCTCCTTACATTTTGATAGGCTAGAAATATAGAATTATTCAGTTTTTTGGAAAAGACTATAAATGCGGAGGCCGATTATTATATCTTTGTCAACATCAGGCCAAAAACATTAAAAGCTTTTGGAGAAACAGATTTTTTAAAAGAGGATATCTTGCGGGCGAATGAAAATTTAAACTGTTCAATGAAAATTTAAACGGCTCAAAAATCAAAATTAACTCTGAATATAAGTTAAAATATGTGCAAAGATTTTAAATTTTATAATAGCAAGCATTGAAAGCTTGTCCTAATGGCTTATATTTTCTTGCAGATGCTAACTTCCGTTCCAATCTCAGCGTGGGAATTCTCAAGCTCAGCGAGCAGGGTGTCCTTTACAATCTACGCAACAAATGGTTTAACAACAATGAGAGCACCTGTAATTTGGATGCCTCGGCAATTGATGACGGCCAGTTTGATATGGAATCGGTGGGGGGACTGTTTGTGGTGCTTATCGTGGGCGTGATCATTGCATTTATGATTGGCATTGCAGAGTTTTTATGGCATGTGCACCGCATCTCGGTGAAGGAGAAGGTATGATATGTACTAAACCCAGAAAACAAAACAAACTACAAACTGCCATAATGACATTTTTGGGTCATTTTGTTTTTTAGTGTTCTTTGAGTTTTCGCTTCCCTCCCAAATATGCAATTAAGATACAAACAAATTCAATTTTAGATTCCACCAATGCTTGCTTTGAAGGCAGAGTTTCACTTTCTCATTCGATTCTGGTTGACCAAAAAGCCGCTTCACACCTACCGGCAGAGCCGTGATTCTACGTCGACTGGCTACTCATCGCTGGAGCAAATTTCGAGTGCCTCGAGTGCGAAGAAGAAAAAAAAGGTCAACAGGATTGCTTACTAAAGCAGGGGCAAGGCTTACGTACATTCAGCAAACTATAATTTAACGTAGAATTAGGATAGCTTAAATCAGATGTGCAGTCCGATTCTTTATTGCCCTTTTAATTTTGTAAATTTTCTCAGTGTACGCTTGTTTGAAAGGACTACTATGAATCAAATTTTCCGCCAAATTCTTACGAACTTTTTGAGCACGCCGGTTTTATATCTTAACTTTAAAGAATTTTGATCATTAAATATATATATGTACATATAATATATAAATAAAAACTCTGTTTTTACTACACCAGTACCAAGAAAATATACGTACTTAAATTTAAGATTTACTTTTAATTTTGGTTTTTATGCTTGAATTTTTGCGTATATGTTTAAAAGCATTGATTTGCAGCTCAATTATTAGATAGTTCTTATGACAGCTATATTTAATTTTTTTTTTGGTGTACCACACTTGCTATTACTTTTCCCTCGAGTGAACGTTTACTTCAAATTCTCCGTGGATCCGATAAGGGAGCACTTCATAACCAGCTATTTCCAGTTTATGGCATAACTAATTTCACTTAATTTAAATTTATTGTTAAGTTAGCCCTCGAGGGCCTTAAAAAATTGCCACAGTGTACAAGATCGTTGATCCTGACGCTGGGCGAGATATTGGCTTTAGTTTTCAACTAGCAATAATCGCAGCTCAGTTGGGACTTCATGGCTTGCGATATTGCCACTGCACAAGGTTGAAGGATGCATTCGGCGAAAATGTTGAATACCTCTATAAGGAGAATGCTATAACAGTTTGGGAATTGTTTGGGCTCAGATTATGGGAATGTTCAAGAACGTTCAACCGCCAGAAACCAGTTGACAGTCTGTCACCCCTTAAATTAAATGACCAACTTCAATCGCATCGCCTCTGGTCCTAGCAAATATTGAGAAACTCCACAAAAGCTGAAACTTGTTTTCCCAGCTTTTGCATTTTTATGACCTTCGAAAGCTTCTTCCTCTATTTTCAGCCACTTCGATGACAAGCATTGCCCGCAACGAATCCGCAACTCAGTGAACCCCTCGGGACCGTAATAAAATCGAATCGAATGGAAATGGCAGTTGCAGTGAAAGGGTCAAGTGTGTGCTTGCGCTCTGGTCAGATACTAGGATTATGCGAGTAAAGCCGCTTGCCCGCGAACTGCCCAAATTGTAAGCTGCTTTAAGGCAGACTTCTACCAATTTCGCCTTAAAGTTAAAAGCCACTCAACAACAGATCAACATTCCACCTCAGATAGACCAGCATCGCTTTCGTCTGCTCTTTGGATTTTCAAGACCCAGCAACTAAAGGCCGACGATTAACAAACGACTCCGTTGGCCCGCGAAATGGCCAGCCTTGCGCATTGTAATTTAAATGGCTCTTTTATGGTGGCGGCCATAAAATGTACAAATAAGGGTTAATTATGTCCCGGTAGTTGACGCCAAGCATGCCAACATAAGATGCCCAAATTTGTGGGGGGCAATTGGGTCACGGTAATGTAAGTAAGTGTGAATAAAAATAATTGTTTGTCTGCCTCGTCTTAAAATTAAAGAGAGGACTGTAAGAAATTCAAACCAAACAAACGATAAGCGGAACCTTTTACACCGTGAAGTCTTTCACCACGATTTTGTTTTTTAAATTCAGCATCACCAGAAGAGTCGATATAGCCATGTCCGGCTATCCGTCCGTTTGTCCGTCCGTTCGTTTCCACGCAAACTAGTCTCTCAGTTTAAAAGATATATGAATGATTCTTCCCCAAAAGATGTCTTCCTGTTGCAGGTATTTTATAAGTCGAAACGAGTTGGATTTAGCACAAAAGGGCGAAAAAATTATTATATATAAAATAATATAATTATAATATATATAAATTATAGTTTTGGTCTCTTTTATTTTTTTGGTTCTTCGAGATCTAGTCGAAACTAATCGAAATTAACAACAAATTTTCAGTTCTCTATTTTTCCATATTTTTATTTCTTATGGATATATTATTGGTTTAACAATTTAGAATTACACTTTTAATTTCGTTCAATTTGGAAAACGATTTCATAAAGCTGCCATGCGAACGAACTAAAAATTAAGCTGAAAATAATCATAGCATCAATTTTTTAAACATATGCTTATATGAATCATATCATATGAATCGAAACCTAGATATTTAAATTTATATCTATTTATTTGCAATAGCTGCCAGGGTAAACGAACTTTGGCTCGCCGAAGTTTGCTTCCTTTCCTGTTTGTTTATACTGCCGACATATTCATTACCACTGGATTTAAATCTTTGTTTTAGGTCGGTACATATATCAAAAATTCACATAAAATAATGAGCCTTTATAAATGTGAACAGGTGTAAAAACAATATGAAATTAAAATTTGTAAACCAAAATCGAATATGACAACAAACACACAAAACAGTAAACGCAAAAACATAATACACAATTACTTATATACGCGTTCAATCATGCTAAAATAATGAGGAACAAGACACCAAAAAATTAGCGCTCTTGACTGAAAAACACGAATAAATCAGAGAGGGGCAAAAGGTGGCAGCTGAAATGTATAACATATATTAAGAAAACATAAATTAAAATTAAACAAGAAAAGGAGCAAGCTTTGGCAATCCGAAGCTTATAAACCCTTGCAGATAGCGCAAACAATTTAAATTTTGAATTATATAAGTACCCATTAAAACTTATTGAACCTATGATGATTTTCACCTCAATATTTTTAGCCTTCCCCTGGAAACTATATGATATCGTTTTCCGATTTTAATAAAATTAAAAGCGTAATTTGGAATTATTAAACGTGCAAAAGAATTACACAAAAATTGAAAATAAGAGAAATTTTAATTTATATTTATTTTTTTTTAATTTTGTTCCAATGGGAGTTATATGCTAGTGTAGTCCGACTTTGATAAAACGTAAACTGTAATTGCAAAATATTAAACAATTACTAAATATCGAAACACTATAAAAAAAATTAAAAACCGCAAAGTTGTAATCCGGATCGTTCCTACTAATACAAGCATTTTCCGGTTTCACTCGGAAATGAATTTGATATCATTTTCGGATTCCCTTTAACAAAAGAAAATTTCCCTTCTATTGGTCCCCTTTGTTCCCAAAGAAAATTAGCTGACTGGCACCTTTCCCCATATTGAGAAAGGCGTTTGATCTGCTGCCTCAGGGCTAAATAAATGTTGGCCCTCTGGTGATGCTCAGCTAATGAGATTAATGGTATACTTTGATTAAATGCCTATATTACCATATTTAAACGAACACAAAAAAGCGTACTTAAAATAAGTCCCAAGAAATCCTTGTTTTTAAAATAGCTCCAAGCTCCAAGCCACCTACTCGTTACAACTCTCGCTGCAGTTGGAGGCTTTACAGCCGTCGTGCTCCGTGTCCAATGCCTCCACAAAGTATTCCACAGTGTCTGCAAACAAAAAATGTTATTTATTAATTATATATCACGAATATGGGATCATACTCTCGTTATCTACAGTGCTTTGCTGCATGTTGTGAATGGGAAACGATCTCAGAAATAAGTTCGACGAAGAAGAAGCCCCCTGCTTGGCCGCATTATATTTCTTGGTAAGGTTCTCAATTTTCGTCCGTACATCCATATATGGCACATCGTGTCCATCCTCCATCATGGTCTGGGCCAAATTCAATTTGTATTTTTATGGTGTCGTCGTCTGGATATTGTCGAAATTGATATTGATACTAAACGTTGTTAACTATATAAAATCAGTTCACCCCGAAATAAAATAATAATTATTTTTATAAATATTTTCAGGTTATTTTTTTGCTAGCGCCGCGGGCAAACATTTTTTTCAATAAAAGTCAATCGTTTTTTGTTTAAAGATCGACGAAAACCGTTCGCCGTCTATAAGAGAGAGCGATAGACAAATACCCGGCGAACAGGTTTCGACAGTGTCTCTTTTCACCCCGCACCCAAAGAAAAATTAATGATAGACAATAAAAAATGTTTCTGAAAAAAATATAAGCTACTTAAGACCTTAAATTTAGGATAAAAGAATGACCTAAGTCTTAGGTTAATGGCGACCTATAAATTTGACAAAACTCCCAGTCCGAATGTAAGTCACTTACGACCTAAAAAATCGATCAAAGACGACCATAAATTAAGATATAAATTTACCAGTTATTTTGACCTCAGCTCGATTTTTAGCACAGATACATATGTACTTAAAATTACCTTTGAATTTTATTTATTTTTATTATTTTTTATTGTATTTTTTTGTTTTAAAATAATAAAATAACATAGTATTGATCCATAAGACTGTGAATGTGAACTGGAGTGTGCTCAAAACGCTTACGCTCTGTAAAAAGTGGTTTGGGAACTATTTCCTTGAGGTATTATGAGGTATTATAAGGAATTCTTATCAATTCCATGCTCTGCTGTAAATATTATAATTTAATTGGTAATATGTTTTGTATATTCATTTTAATCGTAGCTTCTCAACAACCTTTAATCTTCTCGCATTGCCATTCTTTTCAAATATTTTTCATATCTACAGTTAAATAAATTCCTTTACTTATTTTCACGAACTAACCTTACTGCGCAATATGAAATATACTTTTTCTTAAAATTTAGAAACCAGCAGTGCACATTTGAGTGCGTATAAACATATGTGTGTATGCAACAAAACTTTTAACTTGCACTTAAACTGAAACGTTACGAAATGCGAGTTGTTTTTGTAAGTGATGGCATGTCACCGATTTTATGGCGATAACAAAAGCATAAAATTTTCCGTAAATTGGTTTTCTCTATCGGGCTGTCATCCACTTGTATACCTTACACCTTACAGTACAACATTTAAGCGAAATTAAACTTAAAATAGTTCCTCAATTAATTAAGTAGGAAAATAGTCCATATTTTGCGATTTTTATGTAATGCGATACCTAAAACTGAAATTTTAGTCCATATAGGTCATACATAGCCTAAAAATAAGCCTACTGTTTCTCTGTATGCGGCAATGGTTTCCCCTTGTTTTGCTTTGAACTTATTTCCTTGTAAACTATTCCAAAATAAAAAAGGTATTGTTATCAAAAACGAAAATGTATTCATAAATTTATCTATATTTTTGCATTCTTTCGCGGACCACGGCAAATAATAATTAAATTAGCCCAACACTCGACGGGAGGATTTAGAAGGGAACGACGAGCAACTCAGTCTTCTGAATAAAATGTTTTATGCATTTCAGAAATACCAATTAGTATATGGCATAATAATATTCTCTGTCCCCTGCTCCTAAAATACCTGCTCCATTTCAAATTTTCACTCCATCTTCATGTAGTGGCCATACGATTATGTGGGTCTGTGTGCTGGCGTTTTCAATGGTAGTCAGGCAGGCATTAACGTTCAAAAGTCAATTAGTGGTTTTTATAAATGTGATTAAATTAAGTGACAGTGTTGTTTACTGTTTTCCGCTTTTCGGATATAAGCCTCATTTTAATTGAGCTAATATTGCCCTGTAAATTGGCTATCAGGGGTATAGGGATAAAATGGATTTTAAATTAGGCAAGGAATATTAGTGAATTTTTCTGTCACTTAATATTTTTACCTGCTTCTCATTACAAATTTTAACAACAATTTTAAAGGGTAAGAGCACAAGCTTTAATTTAGTGCAAGCTTATTTATGGTGGCTATAATGTAAATCAAAGTTGTATAAAACTGTGAGTCTGAAAATATAGACCTTATTA